TCCCATCCATCATAGGAGGTGGCATCAACCCGACTAGCTTCTTCATAGTCATCCCAATTTGCATAGGCATAGCCATCATCTAGAGACCCTTGTGCACATTCTTGAGGATCTTCTGAAGAGGGAGAGTTAACAAGAGTGAGTACAACGTACTCAACAAGCATATAAATATCAATGCAATGCAATATGGTCATCTCAAAATGATCAATAATATATCATCTTGCTGTTCAAATAACATCTGTAGAAAAAGTCAGTTTAGTTTAAAAACAACACTACTATCACTTGTATCTTGAGAAAGAGCCACCCATAGGTTCTCGTAGCCTCTGATCCAAGAGACATGACATGAATTCATGATTTTACCCTGCGCAGGTTTGTATCACTTTAGCCATAATTACCTTGACCAATTTTTCATCGCACTTCCTTTGGTGCGACTCATGGTCAAGATACCGAACTTTCCCCATTTTGTATAATTATACACCCACATCTATCCACGTGCACTAATATATGCACCTGGGTGTGCTTCATCGACACCTGATTGGGGATTTCATTACCCAACCTTCTCCTCACTTACCATAGGGATTATACAACAACTCCATGGATACTAGAATCGGCTCGTCCCAAACGAGTTCATGGTTGACACGAATTTTTACGGCCCAATAACACAAGTGAGAGTTGGTTATTAGTCCTACCAAATTTTTCCATCCAAATATATAGTAGGGAATTAGTTGCTCCATCAGCTAACCCCATGTCATCAAATTCAAATATCATCCATCCATAGTCAATTTAAAAAATAATATTTAATGCAGGTTACTTTTATTTTCTTAAACTCTGTATAAAAACTCAAGGAGAAAATGATCAAGGATTCTTGCCGGAGTTGTTAGGATTCAACTCGGGCTCAGTTTGGTTCACTGGAAGATCATGCGCCTGACTTTACTCGCTTCCTGTAATTAGTATAAATATATATTGGTATTTAGCAAGATGAAAAAAAAAGTCTATATATACTTAGCACATACGTAGCCATGTGTTCATCCTACAGTCAAAGAAATAGCTTATGGGTCCTTAGTATCAATTAAGCTGTGATTTATAAAGGAATATTGTATAGCTGAGCTTAGTAAATCATTGAATTAGTTTAGTATATTGTTAAGCCCCTTTTTACTCTCACGTGAGCTAAGCTGCACCTGCACCTAATTGAAGCCATCCCCTGCTCAGTACTACTACTACTTTGCAGCCCCAAAAGCACATCAACAAACACACGCACATCTCTCCATCCAGTATTCCTCTCGTCTCCCTCTCTTTCCTCTCTATCTTTCCCCTCCTGCTACTCATGGTGCTCAGGCTACCTTTCCCAAATCGGCAACCATGGTTTGATTTCCTCCTCGATTTCTCTCTCAAAACCAAATCCAAGGACACTAGTAGCTATCTAACCATTTTTTTCCTTCGATTTCTTCCTCTGTGATGTGTGCAGGTTGGGTGACGGCGGCGGCGTGCTCCACTGAGGTGTCGAGTTGAGCAGCCATGCCGCCTAGGCAAGCCAAGAAGGCCCGAGCATGCTGATGTGCGGGGGTTTGGGCTCCAGCAACAATCTTCCTCAACCTGACAGTGAGTTCCTCCCCCTCACCTCTTCCTATTCTCTCTTTTTGTTTTACCTAGCCTGCAACTCTGTAACTCAAAGATACATGCCGAGTGCTCTAGATGTATAGGTTCTTGTGTTAGTGTTTTAGTCAAGGCTCAAGTATTTTTATGTGTAGCTTTCTACTAAAAAGGAATGCATGTTCTTGTTCTGATAATAGTTGGCATATCTCTCTTGGCCCAAAATATTATTGAGCACCTAATTGTTGTGTTGTTCTAGAACATATGGTTCTTCCCGTGGAAGGTGCTTTGTGTTCTTGGTAGAGAGAAGAAATATTCTAAGATGTGCTTGTGAACCTCACCTTAATCTTGATGATGTTTAGCTCCAACCTTGGGCTTATTTTCCTCAGACACTTGCTCCTTTTCTTGCAGGTCTTGATTGCTTCAAAAGTGCTTCTGATTTGCTTGCAGCACTTGGGCTCTCTGGTGACTTCCTCTCCTGGTCAGCCCCCCCTTGTCACCCCATGTCGCTCTCCATGGTGATCAAGTCACCATCTTGTGCTGGTGGAAGAGTTGGTGTTTTTCTCAAGCAAGGAGTGCACGAGGTGTTTATCTAGAGTCCTCAACCTTGAGTGGGGAGCTAGCCTAAGAACTGAGTGACTGCTACTTCGATGGAGGCAAGGCCCTTTCACCAATACTGAGCCCCTCCTCTACTACTACTACTCTAGCTCTCCTAAAATATTTTAATCTCACCCATGGCCTAGTCAAAGAAATTCACTGTGTTGGTGAGCTGCTGCTAGTTGATTGGTTGGTTCCTTTCTAAAATGGCATGGCTACACTTCATGTGTACCAACTATGAACTGTAAGCATAATGTTTAATGTACTAAAGTATTTTAATATGCAAAAGAATGGTGGCCTGAGTTCTTTTTTTGGAGTGAACTTGGTCTACCAGTGTATATAAACACCACCATGGATTAATATTTGATTTATGCATTTTAATATTAGAGTGTACTAAATTGTCTAGCTTGTTGTAATTGATTTTTGTTTACTGTGCATTTAGCTGTGATTAACTATGAGCTAAAATGGTGGGTCATTACAAAATTCCTCCAATATTCTTGAAAAAAATTTACACATATTAAGTTGACCGATGTCAGGTATCCATGAAGGACTGCCTATTCAAGTGGCAGAACAGGTTAACTCTCAGAAACACAACATGCTAGTTTATCGTTTTGCATCATGGTTCTTGAGGTTTGAAGAACGAAAAGTTACAAGCTTATCACCTGTGTGGTCAACAAAATTGTGTTATTGACCTGCATTTTTGTCTTCATAACCATCATGGTTCATATACAACCCTTTCAAAAATAAAATAGCCCAACCAATCATATAAAACATCACGCTCAATCTGGGGACTTTCAACATGCTTCTGGTTCTCGCATTCTACTTCTCGCGGATGGAAACTTACTCCCAAGATTTAGTTGCCTTTTTCAAGCACCCAAGAATTTAGTCAGTCTTCTCACATATAAATTCCTAGGCCGAGTTCCTTTGGATCAGTTTCTACCATCCAGGAAGTCCTGTCAATTCAAGTGGATGAGCATGTTTAGCTGAAACAACAAAACATGAATTGGGACACATATACTGTCTTTTAGACTGGGGAAAGAGAAATCAATTGTTCATCACGAAGGTACTTGTCCCTTGTCCCTTGAGATGCACGCTCAATAAGCAGCTTCCTTGCTTCTATCGGTATTCCCTCTGGCTGCATTATAACAAATTGAGGTAGTTTAGTTTGAGAAATGAAGTCTTTTGTTAACTTTTTTTTCCATTTCACTCTAAGGAAGCATTACTCACCTCTTCTGGCAACCAAACTCCTGGTTGTGTGTTGCCCTCAAGAACTGCTAAAGCAAATGCAGCAGTTGCAAAGCCCACCGATCTGTGAATTTTGATCTAGCATATGCTTAGATGCAGTCCAGAGAGTATTTAATTCTGGTCACCCAGGAATCTATCAATGAGAAAATCCAACCTCTTGCATCAGGTTCCTAAACACATCAAATATGTTCAGTAATTTCCTCATCAACAAGAGCCCAGACACACTTTGCCATAGTGCACTCGAGTAGCGAGTGTTTTCAGGAGTCCTGGGCACCACAAATAGAGCATTTCGAGGAATCTACCATGTGCGTGCGATGACGGACATCCCAATGACTGTTTCTCCAGTCTCCAAATGAAAAGTTTGATTTTTGCCGGAATGCTAACTCGCCGTAGCGACGTCCAACTCTTCTCCACACTTTTGCCGGAATGCTGTTCTATCTAGCCATGCTTCCCTGTAGTTCCTTGTGCTCACCAGCATCGAATCCTGTAGGCTGATCGAGCACCTGTTGCTATAGATGGCCATGCACATGCAGCCCGCAATCCGATAACCCGCTGCGAAGCCCTCTATTTTGACCCGTCACAAGCATGGCATGGCACGGTACTACGCGGGCCTGGGCTGGCCTATGCTGATTTATAGGCCATGCTTGGACCGCTCTCCAGGCACGTGGTGCGGCACAGCCTGACCCGATTTTTTCTACAAGCCCAACAAAAGCTCTATCTCGGGTACCTAGCATATTTTCTAAAAAAAAGTAACTCGCATATATATACCATTCTCGTAACCCTACCCATCCCCTGGCGTAGCCTCTGGGTCCAAAGACAGGATTTTGATTGATTGGGGTGTAAACGTGATTTTTTTTTAAAAGGGCTAAAATAAAAAAAACGGAGGTCCAGGCGTCCAGCCATGCAAAGTACAAATGATATCAAAACTTTGCACACTGCTTTCCCTAATTAGGCAGGCGCATCGCCCGACGCAGATTTCAAATTAGTCAACGATCAAACTTTAGGTTCCTCGACACCTGTCCGCCTCCTCGCGACGGGCGACGACGGCCCAGTCGGGAGTCGGCCCCTAAGACGCCGGCGGGCTCCCCAGGGAGCCAGGCCCCAGCTCTCCGCCTCCACGCCCGCAGTCCCCGCGCTGTCTGCCGTCGTCTTCAGCCGCACCGGCCCGCCCCCAAGTCCCCGCGCCGCCGTCTCCAGCCACGCCGGCGCGCCCCCCAGCTCCCGCGTCGTCCGCTCTCCAGCCCGGCCGGCGGCAAGCCTGGTGAGAACTGAGAACCCTCTTCCCCTCCATTATCTTCTTGCTTGCAAAATCTCTAACCCTAACTTTTTCTGATCTAATTTGGTATTTTGATGTAGCTTGTAGATGTATGTAGGTAGTAGAATTATAGAAATTAGCGGGGATGTATTGGTTGATTACTTATGCATATATGCTCTGAATCGCGTGGCAGTTTTTAGTATTTGTATACTGAGTTGCTGGGCAATTTTTATGCTACTTTTACCGGTTTGGATATGAAAATTTTGATCTGACATACCCCATGCAAAAATCGTAGATCTGCCACTGGGTGAGAAGGATGAATGAAAAAGTGGATGATCCAGACGTCCTGGAGATGAAGCAGCTGTCTAGGGAGAGTGAGGAGATGGGGAAGGTCGATTCCGATGCGGAGATTGCAGATCAGCAGAGAAGGCTGAAGGAAACAGAGGGAGATCCCAAAGGCGAGGAGGGGAGGGAAGCTGCAAGGAAAGGAACCTTCAAAGGAGAAGGCGAAGTGAGAAGCGAAATGGCGGCGACGTACGAAGATAAAGCCCGTTAAGGAAGAAGTTAAGAGGGGTATGAGAAGTATTTGGAGTGGAAGAGGAGGCAGGATGAGAAAGAGAGATAACAGATCCTTTAGCCTTTGAAGCTAAGATGTTCAGAAAGAGGTGGGACAAAATCTATTTGGAGGTCTACGGTAGCTTCGATAAGAACAGTGAGTTAGACTTTCAATTATCTCATTCTTGACTCATGCATTAATTAGTTAGTTGGTTCTTGTTGCTTTGGTTTGGTACTCCTTGTATTTTCGAATTTCATACTAAATACTCCTATAATATCAATCTACAATGGCGTTCCTTTGATCTCAAATGGTATACATCTAAAAGGATCAGAACTGGATCAATGAACAAAAATGAGCTTATATGCAATCTATGCACATATTTAGTTTTATTGTTACTGCTTTGTGCTTACTAGGTACTGCCTGCAACTGAGGTTGTACATCCTAAACTCATCTGATATCTACTTCAACTACATGCAGCTAACATCCCTTGCAAACGTTTTACACATAATCTTGCTCCACAGGGTGGCATTGTGTGCAGTACTCTACAAGTATTTTCAGTCAAAGTTGAAGAAATAATTGAAGGTTTAAAATGGCCGCTTGAGGTGTTTGGTATGGTTGCTCTACGGGACTCGATTGATCTCAGTCGTAATATTATCTTCAAGCGCGAAAGGCATAACTGTCAGATACTCACAGATCAGGTCCGAAGTGTGCCTATTTCCACTTCTCTTTCTCTAATCTTGCCAATGTGCCTATTTCCTACTTATGCTCCCTGTGTACTTGTTCTTGTTGTTAGCATCCAAGCATGTATATATTTAGTAATTAGTACTATGCCGTTGTTGTACCCACTGTTTCTCTGAACCCAAATGATCTTCTAATTCTATTACCAACTGCTCTTTATCCTCAGAAGGATGAATTATAGATGGTGTTATTGTATTATTGCTTTGTAAAATTTTGCCAGGACTCCCATGCCCAGAGTTGCCATGCATTACTTATATTGGAATTATGTAGAGAGCTCAGATCTTGTACAAACATACTGGTAGATGAATATAAGGTGGGAATGAATTTTAACTATGTTATGTATCCTTGTAGATGGAAACAGGAAGTATGTTACTGTTGTCAGGTGTGGGTGTCTTTTTTGTGTGTGTGTGGGTGGGGGGGGGGATATAAACTTATTTCCTTGCTAATAACTCTATATCCCTTGCATCTGCCCCCACAATGGTTTCTGTCTTATTAAGAAGATGTTCAACAATATCTTTCGATCAAACAAGATACCTAAGGAGTGGAGAAGAAACATATTGGTACCAATCTACAAGAACAAGGGAGATATCCAAAGTTGTACTAATTATCGAGGAATTAAGTTGATGATATGGGAGAGTTGAGAAGCAGATATCAACGAACCCATTTGGTTTCATACCCGGAAAGATCAACCATGAAGCAATCTTCTTAATAAGACAAGTTATAGAGTGGTTTAGAGAGCAGAAGAATGACCTCCACATGGTTTTTTTTATTGATTTGGAGAAGGTTTATGACAACATACCAATTTGGTTTCATGGGCTTTGGACAAATATAAAGTCCCATCAAAGCAATCTTCTCATCAATAAGAACAATGTTGTGACTGGTGTTAGAGAAGCGATGGTAACACAAATTACTTCTTAATTAAAATGGACTTCATCATGGTTTTTATTGACTTGGTAATGGAAAGGCTTATGATAACATCCAACATATCAAGAAATGTTATGTGGTGGGCTTTGTTTATTTATGGTATTGCAAAGAATCATAAAGTCCCATCAAAGTGTCTTTGTCATGGCATATGGTCTTGTGATCTTTGAGGCTTCATCAATGACAAGGGTGTACAACAATGTTGTGACGTAGTGTTCGGTTTGTGAAAACGATGGTTTGTGACAAAAAATACCCTTCCTATGAAGGGACCGTAAAGAGGAGAGGTGAATTAGGCAACTTAAAATTCTAACTCTAAACTATGGCATCTTTTTTTTACTTCTAACAAAACCTATGCAAAAGATAATCTATCTAGATGTGCAACTTAAGCTAGTGTGTTGCTATCTCTACTTCAAGCGTAGTAAAGTAATCAATGTAAATCTTTGTCTTGGTACTGGATATTTTTATCGAGGTATCGAGAAGCTGCAAAGCTTCCCCTAGTCCTCGTTGGAGCCCCTACAAGGGGATCGCATGAGGGCCAATCTTGGTCGGGTAACTCCGTGGATAGCCTCGTTTCTCACACAAGTGGGTCTCCGATGTGCCTCTTGGCAAGCCTCTCCGGATGCTCCCCCGCCGTCTTCACTATCAAGCTTATTGCATGTTCCCTCCCAGTTACAGTGGCGGCCACACCACAAACGCGTTGGTGGTGTGATCTCATGACTTCAAGCCCTTGATGTACAACACTTGTGCTCACAAGCACGGGTGGCAAGAGGTATGCAAACCTCACTTAAACACTAGGCAAACACCTGGCCATGATGTCATATACAACACACTTGTGCTTGTGATCTTTGAGGCTTCATTGTGATCTAATCAACCTAAGCACTTCATAAAGCACTTATGCTAATCACCTAATAAAACACTAAGCACTATGCATGTGGAGATCACTCAAATGGTGTATCAACACTCTTGGTATGTTTCCTCGGCTCACATTGGTCAAATGGCGGTTTGGGGTTGTATTTATAAGCCCCACTAAGAAAGTAGCCGTTGGGGTGAACTCCCGCAAAGCGCTCTTGGACGCCGAATCGGACCGACGCGTCCCGGTCGTCCCACCATCATTGAACCCGGCAAAACACCGACGGACGTTGTCCATCGTCGTCGCTTACCACCGGACGCGTGTTCGATCGCGAGATATATTAGCTCGAACCTTATCAGATCGATCGATCGGACGCTGCGTTCTGCGTCCGGTCGGTTTCCGGTCCTCGCGTCCGATGCGCTTTGTCTGAAGTCTCCACCGATCCGGTCACTTATCCGGTCCAAATCATCCGGCCACCACAATGAGAGCTCGTTTCTTGATCTCGTATACGGTTTGGTTCCAATCTTCATGCTTGGACTTTACTTGATCTCTTGGGTCTTCTCTTATGCTCCTAAGGTTTTGCTTTAAGGTGTTGATCATCGGATCATCACGTCGCCTTCGTCCAAGTCACGTCTTGCACCGTATTGGACTATAAAACAAACACTTGCAAATTCATTAGTCCAATTTGGTTGTGTTGGTCATTAAACACCAAAATCCAACGTAAATGGGCCAAAGGTTCATTTTCCTTACATCCGGCTGGAAATTTACGATCGTTTACGACAAGCCACAACCAAACGAACAGGCTGATAAAAAATTAAGCCTTCTAGCTACGTCAGTGGGACCAAACCCTACCTTGGAATCGTGCTTGTTTCAGCGATCCTATACGAGCAGGCTGAGCACACTGCAATTGATGCTTGGCCATCTTACTGATTCTATGGAAGCTACAATCAGAGTGCGAGTTGCTTCTGGGACATGGCCAGATGGTTTTGGTGGTTGGTTTGCGGTCCGTGCCGGCAGCATAAAACATATATTGTGTTGCTTGACTGGAGATAAGAAAGTGTCTATTACTGGTAATGAGATCAGGCTGGCACAGTTGGTTGTTTCTATCGAAGCTCATGGAAAGCTGATAGTTTTCGTTGCTGCTAGGAATGGTTCTGATGTCTTAGGGATGTAAAGGACTTCAAACCTCTGCAAATGGGTACAAGCTCTAAGGAACTGCGAATTGGTAGCTGTACTTCCTCCGTTCGTTGCCACGATTTACGTGTTGATAACTTTGACTCGATTTATAGAAAATACGTGTAATATTTTTATCTTCAAATAAATTTATTAAAAAACTAGATTCAAATATTTATTCAATGATATTAATTATGTGTCATAAATATTAATATATTTTAATATATATTTAGTCAAAGTTGTTTCTCGGGAAGCGAAAACGACATAAATTTAGGGACGGAGGGAGTATTGTTAAACGTGAACGTAAATGAACAAGATTTGGAAGAACTATTACTTTCATTGATCTCGAAAATATATTTATACAAGTGGAGAGGCGTCACGAAGAGACACGACTGTTTCCAAAAGACATGCCCTTTGAAACTAAAATTAACTGTCTAATTCTATCCACTAATCCTGTGCTTGATGGATGAGATCATTCGTGAAGAGACGCCTGTTCGTCTGTAGACGTCCGTTCGCGTATAGGTGTTGTTTTCCAACACTCCCCCTTGATCGAATCTTCCTTGAGATCAATGCAGTTGTAAGCTAAAATTCCTCGAAAAAACCCTATGAAAAAAAATCTGAGGAATATATGATATGCCATAAAAACTCCTTTAAATCTTATTGAAAAATAAGAAGAAAATAGCATATTTATTTGTAATTTAAATAAACCACTGTGTCATTGGTATCCCATGAAAAACCCCAATGGAGAAAAATATTGGAGATACGACATAAAGATAACTCTCCTAAAAACCTTTCAGGGAAAATATGAGGAGCAATATAAAGTGATATGTCGCTAAAGCTCCTATAAAAACCCAATAGGAAAATTAGGAGAAAATGTGATGATATATTATTGATATTGTCTCTTGGATAACTCACATGAAAAACCTTTTCATGGAAAAACCATGAATGAGTTGTGAGGGCAATATGTGTCTTTGATATTTTCCACAAAAATCCTGATAGGAAAAATAGAAAAATATGACACATGCTTATGTTAATATTACCTCATTAAAAACTTTAACAAAAAACTTTATGAGTAAAACTTGTGAAAGAAAAGAGTATAGTATAATACTGGTATAGGTCAGCATCTAGGAGATGTCTCCCTTTGATTCTTGCAAATTTCGAAGTCGTCGCATACCAATTTTATGTAGAAATTTTTGAAACATAGAAGTTGGTAAGGACTTAGTAAATAGTTCAGCGAGATTATCGCATGCGGTGATTTGCAAGATGTTTATTTTCCCGCTTTCTTGTAACTTATGAGGATAAAACAGCTTAGGGATAATGTCCTTAACGACATTACTCTTTATGTAACCTGTTTGCATCTATGTAACATAAGCGAAATTATCTTCATAGATAATTGTTGGTGATTTAATCAAACCAATACCACATGCCTATTGTATGTGGTTAATCATTCTGCGAAGTCATACACATTCATGTGATGCCTCGTATAGAGCAATAATTTTAGAATGATTAGTAGAGGTCGCCGTCAGAGTCTGTTTAGAAGACTTCATGAAATAGCTGTACCTCTATGTAAGAATATAAATCCAGTTTGAGATGGGGACCAGATAAGTAATCAGCATCCGTATATCCAATCATATTTGAATCATGATTTCTCTTAAAGAATAAACTAAGATTCTTTGTGCCACTAAGATATCTGAGGATATGCTTCGCACCCGTCTAATAACGGTGAGTTAGATTTGCACTATGTCTAACTAGTATGTTCACTGCAAATGTGATATCAGGCATGGTGTAATTTGCAAGATACATAAGTGCTCCAATGACACTAAGATACGAAACCTTGGTCCCAATATTTTTTCTCCAATATCTCGTGGTCTAAATGGATCTTTCTCTATTTTTAAAGAACGAACAACCATCGGGGTTTTGTTATGATATGATTTGTCTATATTGAATTTCTTCAATATTTTCTGGATATAGGCTGATTGATGCACTAAAATCCCTGAAGGACAGTGCTCAAGTTGTAAGCCTAGGAAATATTTGGTCTTACCCAAATCCTCCATCTCGAATCCACATGATGAAAATTGCATCTCAAATGATTGCATAATTATTTCTGTATCATGATAATATCAAAATAACCAATATACGCAATCATGCTTAATTATACACAATGTATGTTGCGATTTGTATTTGGATTCAGAATATGAAGTCCATTGGGACTTATACGTCCGAATCTATCAAATTCATTTGATATGTCAATTATTGAAGTTGGAAAACTTCATTTTCACACATACCATAGGATATGCTATACTGGGTCTCTGCGTGAAACCATATGCTACAAGCTCTCATTGTTCACCACCTTGCTTCTGAAAAGAAACTATGTGAGGAAAGATATTATTGTGGTAATACTTCTCATCATTGAACAAGAGCAATCTCCTTAATTGCCACCTTTTAGTTTGACCAAATTTGAGTGTGAAGACACTCTGCCTAGGACTTTTGGTCTGGATCTAGTAAGGTAAAAAAGCAATCTTTGAGGAGTATATGCCGTGATAATTTGTAGTCTTTAAATGATTGATTCGATTCTTGAAATCAATATAGCATGTGAAAATGTTAACCTTTTTGGACTCCGAGTCATATCCCATATGGAGTCAAGGTGTCCAATGTCCTAGGATCAGAATTTGGGTGCACCGTTGATCCGGATGGATTTTGATCCGAGTTTTGGATGCTCATCCATTTTGGGTGTCTACCAACTTGAGATTGGCTTGGATTTACTGATTTGGAGGATATTGTACTTGGAGCATTATCCTTAGGAGCGGCCGTACTTCTCCCCCTCTTCTTTGGAAGTGGGAGTTGAATGGTTTTAATTGGTACCTCCATTCTTTCGGGTGTATTATAATTAGGATAAGAGGATTTTATTACACCCTTATTATCAGTAAATGTTTCTAGCAGATTCTTTGCAATATGATGCAAATATAAGATATTCTAAATGATTAGGTTTAGAATTTTTGGTACGTGGATGTGAGGATTGCTCTTTTGATTGTTGGCATTCTTAATGTGGTATAAATCTCCCCCTAATGCTTGGAATTATCCTCAAATGTGATCAACATACGGGTAATTTATAAATTCCCTGTAGAGTTACCTCTTGGGATCCCTAATGTCCATTGGTATGTTGGGGTGGTGATATGGGTATGTGAAAACATACTCGATGCGCAGATGAGAAATGTTTGGTTGCGGCCAAAGTTTCACGTACATACTGCAACAGAGGGAGTTGTATAAGTGCAACTTGATGAATTTGAATTAACGATGCGATGTGTAAGATCGTATGAAAACAACTTAGTTCTGGTAAATTACAATTCTATTTTAATATGTTATGCAATTTGATTCTCAATAAGAGACTCAATAAAACTATTATTGGTATGGACATAAGGTACTTGATATATAGTACCCAAAAATCAAACCGTTCCATATAAAATGGATTTGATCCCGTATCCAGGATAATTTGCTCTAAATTGAAGATTTCGAGCAATGAGTTTGGTATAGTGATGGTTCTCATGACTAAGAGACACATCTGTGACTATATTATGGATACATAAATGTGCATTACATAGTATCTTTATGGTCCATAAAATTGTAAATTGAGTCACATGTATGTTCTTGAATTTCTTCAAGAAATGTAGTGGCTCATTGATGCTATGACCAATAGAATTGGCAATAATTCTCAAGTTATCTCTATAGTTGAATAACTAAGGCAAATGTGCCAAGTCTTATTGACATTAAGAGGGAGAATTATTTGTACGCAACATTGGATACAGGTTATGTATATGTAGTCAAATCCAACTGAGGATGTTTTGTTTAAGTATTGCCATATCCGTTGTTATGAGAAAAATACTCCTCTTAGTTGTCATCTTGGGGTTTCCATATGAAAACCACATTGACGGATATCTCTATAATTTTAATAGGGTACATTATGAAATCAGAATACAAGAATGGATTCATGATTATTATTTGAGTACCAATAGGAAGTATGATGGTAGCACGACCAAAGCCCACTATCATGACATCGCGTCAAGCGATTAACAAAATATTTCCTTGTCTCTATATAAGAATTTAGAAATATTTTGCTTCCCTATATATAGAGTTTGTGGTGCAACTATCCACTAGGCAAAATTTCTCTTTGCATTTGGATTGACTCCCGTATAAGTCTATATATAGCATGAAGAATATAATGACATTCTTTGCAGATATGTAGATTACATACAAGTTAATTAATGGAATATCAAATGTGATGGCACATTATTGTGATATTCAATTGAAATTGATGACAACATTTTATATTACAACACCAAAATGGGACGTAGATACTAGGTATGTTTGTAAATGGGAGACAAATTTTGGTCCCCAAAATGGATCAAGCGAAGTAAATTCGATGATTGTGCTCTCCATGCTCATAAGACCCACTTATTAATTAAGTGTTTGGTTGCTACTTGGTTTCTTCATGAAAGTTGTTGTGAACAACTGGCATTCCTGGTGGTGTCAGGTTGAAGATAGAAGCGTGCTTCATATCTTTATTGTTGAGCCGGATATCTATGTCCAATGAATTTGTAATACCGATCAATTAAATGTTTCAACGCATGATATTTCTAAGTTGTGTGGCTATAACATACACAATTGGGACAAAATATGGTTCTGTCATATTTGGGAAATGCCTTGACCCTAATGAATGCACGGGGCTGCTACTTCTTTTCGTGTTAAATCTTACCATTAAAGTTTTATGGATGGCATTATTACATGGCATCGAACTTGTTATGATTCTGAAAATTCAATGTACTTCAGATGATAGAGCATCACTATAATTCTAATGATGATTCCTCGATAAGAGTTTATCATACACTTAGACCTGAAGTAATGTAGAAATTAATCTAGAATACATTTGGTAAGTTGTGGCCAATCAGATATGGCATTGTGCATAATGACTGTCTTAGTGTTGTTCATATCGCTCATTGAGAGCTAGCCATATAGTGCTTCGATTTGCATCCATTGAGATACACATGTGCGATCTGGATGTGTATAGTGCTTTATTTAAATAAAACTTCATACTTAATTGTTTAGTAAACGGTGATGCTCTCTTACGAGGAGCACCAAGTATATTTTGCTATGAATCCATAGAACAATAAAGTTTAACTTTACGTCCATTGGCCATGTTGGATAATGGTGATCATCAAGAGTGAGAGATCAAACTCTTTCGTGTCCATTATTCCAATTAGGTGCAAACCATAGATTTTTTAAATTTACTTTTAAGGGTAAATTAAAATTGCTATGGTAGTGTTGTAATGGGATGCAAAATAAAGACAAGATAATCTTGTATTAATGTTAGTGTCAAAATCTCATATGCATAATAACATAATGGAGGTAGTCACAGTAAAGGTGTAGATCTCAAAATGAGCATAATCTGTGTTAACAGTAGATGCCAAGTCATTAATGCAAGTTGTATGAACACGTCTTAAGGTAGCCATCAAAGATTGATGTAGACCTTAGTTAATTCGCAAACGAATTGGGTACGCACGTTGAGGATAGTCACTAAGTTGTGGACTTAGTGTAGATTCCACAGTAGCAACAATGGTGCTACCTTGTGTATGGGCAATAGGAATGTGAATTAATGGTAGTCATCTTGTGAAAAGATGTAGACCCTATGTTCCAATTTGTGATGTTGGGTACGCACGTTGAGGACAGTCACTAAGTTAGAACTTAATGTAGATCCCACAGTAGCAACTATAGTGCTACATTGTGTATGGTCAACATACAATGTGGAACATTTCTGTTGTACAAATAATGAGATAATACACTTCATCGATTTTGCATTAAAAATGTAAGCACTATGAACCTTAAATAAAGCATGAATGGGCTTAACATGAAATGAAAATTGCAAATAACAAAGTAGTTGCAATGCAAAGGTCGTGATAATAATATTACATGTTTATTGGGTTTGCCAATTTGAACGAACATTTTGAACAATGTAATAATAACACATGTTTATTGGGTTTGTCAATTTGAACAAACACTTTGAACATGTAATGCTAATAGTACATGTTTATTTGAAATGTCATATGGCAAACTCTTTGAGCAGTACCAAACAACAATTTTATTTGCTTGTAAATTTAAAAATTTACGTTGAACCGAGGGCTCAGAAGCAAACAAAACTTATCACTTATGCAATTTTTTGAATACTTAAGGCTCCAGAAAATATATTTGCACGAGGCAAATAAAGTATAGTGAAATATTGTACACCGGTGTCGAGAATAGGCCGTGTGATTAATGTTGTAACCTTTGGCTATAACACAAAGGCACGAAACATAATTATCTAGAATGATAATTATTTAATTTACAGAAAATGTAAGGTCATTTCTGCTAAATTTACACAACCTTATCCACCCAGTCAACCAGTCCTCACGGACGGTTTCTCCTCGGGAGAAAATCGTCATTAGGCCGAGAGGCCGTGAGGATGCCGCCGATGGCGGCTTCTGGGAAGGCTGGCCACAGGGCCACCGACTATGGGGGCGTGGAGGCTGCCGGCCGCAAGCCTAAGGGAGCAGGAGTCTCAGGCCGCTTGGCGTGGAGCAGCAGGGGGGCGTCTCTGGGCCACGGCGCGAGGCCACTGGCGCGGCCACGGTGCGGAGACCGTGAGGGGCCACGGCGAGGAAGCCACTGCCGTAGGCCAGGCGCTCGGGCGCCGCAGACGTGGGTGCTGATGCGTTGGCCCGAGGCGAAGGCCGACTCGATGTCGGCTCCAATCGCGGCCGCTCAGAGCACCGGCCTCTGCGCTGCTGACTGCATGTGCGTCTGCATGGTGCAATCTGCACGAGCAGCACGCAGTGGCTGCCATGGTGCGAGGCGTTGCTGGTCAGGGGCGATGGTTGGCATCACCAACCTTGTTGATGCTGGAGAGGAAGAAGCCGGAGAACGACATCTTCCACTTCATCGGAGGTAAGAACATTGATTAATGAAAATATACGATGTCATATTGTTTAGTAGATGTGCATTCATGAAGGTCGGTGATCTCCTGTCCTCTTTCTCATTTTGATGATGCTTCATCTCTCTTCATCATGGGCAAGATTGCAGTACGTCGTCTTCCACGGCGGCAACGGAAGCGTTGCTGCTCTTCTTGGAAGACTTGGATTAGCGTAGGGGCTGGCCGCTGGTGGCCATCAGTTCTGCATCAGCGTTGCTGTTGTTCATAGTTCTCGGCGAACTCTGAGGGAACGGTGATGGTCGAGAGGCATGCGTGCCTCTGTTCTTCCTCTTGTTCGCAGAGCAAAGTGTTGATAATGTGTTAAACGTGAACGTAAATGAAAGATTTGGAAGAACTGTTGCTTTCATTGATCTCGAAAATATATTTATACAAGTAGAGGGGTGTCATGAAGGGACACGACTGTTCCCAAAAGACATGCCCTTTAAAACTAAAATTAACTGTCTAATCCTATCCACTAATCCTGTGCTTGATGGATGAGATCAATCGTGAAGAGACGCCTGTTCGTCTGTAGACGTCCGTTCGCGTATAGGTTCTGTTTCACAACAAGTATGTTGGAAGTCACTGTTTATTGGTCCCGTTTCTAAATTAGTTGAAAAAATACTGATGAAGGTTTGGAACTTCCTACTGGCTGTTTATTCTGAATGAATTTGTACTATCTCTCGAACCATGAATTTGTATTATTTAATCAATGATTTAGGACTTGATGATTTTGTGTTGACGGAGAATCTGAAGTGTTATTATCTCGGACAAATGTGGCGTGTGCGTGCATCTGATGTTCAATTTTCCCCGCACTGTCCTGACGAGGTGATTATCCAAATTGTTCTTTGTGACCTGGCATCTGGTCACCCGTTTTTTGAATGTATACCAAATCTAATTTCCCTGGACGAGCATTTCTAGTTTGGTTTGCTATCAAAATTTAGGCTTATGGTATTGTGTTTATGCAGAAGCTGGAAATGTATTTACTTTTAGTGTATCAACTTGATGTAATGATTGTGAATTAACAAGATCATAAAAAAATATAAAAGAATCATGTCAAACAAATGCCCCCACCAAGTTAATTTAGAATGCGGAGCAAATTTGAACTCGACTCGGTGAAACTTAAATTGGAAATTGATTCGGCGCATTAATTTACTGCAGCCTCTGCAAAAAAACGAATCAGTCCGAAGGGAGCAAGCATATATAATCACTGGTCACATTGTCACACCAACTGGAACGTTCATCTCACGTATCGATAGATCGCTGAAAACGTTTACCTGTGGAAGTAAACATGGAATAGAAAGCGAAAAGAGAGAACACAGCGAGTAGAAGTTATTCCCTACGTCTCAGGATGTAGGCGCAACTTAAAAATTGCAAAGACTAAGAAATACATTAATTACCGTGTGCTCCCAGGAATGTCCCTTCGTTTCTGTCTCGGAATAATTGCGTAAAACATTGCTCCGTCCTGACGTCGTTAGACCGAGTCGCGCGCATTTTTCTTTCTTCTCCCGTCGCATGTAGCCAGCCGCGTGCGTCTTTATTCCGAGCCCGCGGTCCTTTACTCCTGTTAAAGTGTGAACGTAAATTATTAAAATTTGGAAGAACTATTGCTTTCATTTATCTCTAAAATATATTTATACAAGTGAAGGGGTGTCACGAAGGGACACGACTGTTCTCAAAAGACATGCCCTTTGGGACTAAAATTAACTGTCTAATCCTATCCACTAATCCTATGCTTGATGGATGAGATCACTTGTGAAGAGACATCTGTTCGTCTGTAGACGCCTGTTTGCGTATAGGTGTTGTTTCACAACACTCCTCTTTATCGAATCTTCCTCGAGATCAATGCAACTGCAAGCTGAAATTTCTCGAAAAACCCTATGAAAAAAATATGAGGAATATATGGATATGCCATAAAAACTCATTTAAACCTTATTGGAAAATAAGGAGAAAATAACATATTTGTTTTTGTGGTTTAAATAAACTACTATGTCATTGGTATCCCATTAAAACCCTAGTGGGGAAAAAATATTGGAGATACGACATAAAGATAACTCCTCCAAAAACCTTTCAAGAAAAATGTGAGGAGCAATACAAAGTGATATGCCGCTAAAACATCTATAAAATCCAGTAGGAAAATTAGTAGAAAATATGACGACATATTATTGGTATTGCCTCTTGGATAACTCACATGAAAAACCTTTTCAGAAAAAAAACCATGGATGAGTTGTGAGGGCAATATGTGTCTTTGATATTTCCCATAAAAACCTTAGTGGGAAAAATAGAAAACATGACATATGCTTATGTTAATATTACCTCATTAAAAACTTTAACAAGAAACTTTATGAGTAAAACTTGTGAAAGAAAAGAGTATAATATGATACTGGTATAGGTTAGCATCTAAGATATGTCTCCCTCTAATCCTTGCAAATTTCGAAGTCGTCGCATACCAATCTTATGTACAAATTTTAAATATAGATGTTGGTAAGAACTTAGTAAATAGGTCAGCGAGATTATCGCATGACTTAATTTGCAAGATGTTTATTTTCCCTTTAATTCATGGGGATAAACCAGCTTAGGGGCAATGTGCTTAGTGACATTACTCTTATGTAACCTGTTTACATCTATGTAACATAAGTGAAAATATCTTTATAGATAATTGTAGGTGATTCAATTAAACCATTACCACATGACTGTTGTATGTGGTTAATCATTCTGTGAAGTCATAGACATTCATGTGATGCCTCATATAGAGAAATAATTTCAGAATGATTAGTATAGGTCACCGTCAGAGTCTATTTAGAAGACTTAATGAAATAGTTGTACCTCCATGTAGAATACAAATCCTGTTTGTGATTCGTAATTATGGGGACCAGATAAGTAACCAGCATCCGTGTATCCAATCACATTGGGATCATGATTTCTCTTAAAGAATAAACCAAGATCCTTTGTGCCATTAAGATATCTGAGGATATGCTTCGCTCCCATCTAATGACGGTGAGTTAGATTTGCACTATGTATAACTAGTATGTTTACTGCAAATGCGATATTAGGCCTAGTGCAATTTGCAAGATACATAAGTGCTCCAATGACACTAAGATATGGAACCTCGGTCTCAATATCTTTTCTCCAATATCTCGTGGTCTAAATGGATCTTTTTCTATTTCTAAAGAACGAACAGCCATCGGGGTTTTGTTATGATATGATTTGTTCATATTGAATTTCTTCAATATTTTCTAGATATAGGCTGATTGATGCACTAAAATCCCTTAAGGATGGTGCTCAAGATGTAAGCCTAGGCAATATTTGCTCTTACCCAAATCCTCCATCTCGAATCTACATGATGCAAGTTGTATCTCAAATGATTGCATAATTATTTATGTATCATGATGATATTGAAATAATCAATATAGGCAATCATGCTTAATTATACACAATGTATGTTGCGATTTGTATTTGGATTCAGAATGTAAAGTCCATTGGGGCTTATACGTCCGAATCTATCAAATTCATTTGATTTGCCAATTATTATATTTGAAAAACTTTATTTTCACACATACCATAGGGTATGTTATGTTGGGTCTCTACGTGAAACCATATGCTACAAGCTCTTATTGTTCACCACCTTGCTTCTGAAAAGAGACTATGTGAGAGAAGACATTATTATGGTAATGCTTCTCATCATTGAACAAGAGCACTTCTCCTTAATTGCCACCTTTTAGTTTGACCAAATTTGAGTGTGAAGACACTCTGCCTAGGACTTTTGGTCTCCAGTAAGGTGAAAAAGCAATCTTTTTGAAGAGTATATATCACGACAATTTATAGTCCTTAAATGATTGATTCATTGCTTGGAATCAATATAGCATGTGAAAATATTAAACTTTTTAGACTCCGAGTCATTTTTCATATGGAGTCAGGGTGTTCCAATGCCCTAGGATCAGAATTTGGGTGCACCGTTGATCCGGATGGATTTTGATACGGGTTTTGGATGCTCATCCATTTGGGTGTCTACCAACTTGAGGTTGACTTGGATTTACTAATTTAGAGGATCTTGTCCTCGGTATCCTCGGACGCTTACTTGGAGCATTATCCTTAGGAGCGGCCGTACTTCTCCCCCTCTTCTTTGGAAGTGGGAGTTGAATGGTTTTAATTGGTACATCCATTCTTTTGGGCGCATTATAAGTAGGATAAGAAGATTTTATGACACCCTTATTATCAGTAAATGTTTCTGGCAGATTCTTTGCAATAGATGCAAATATAAGATATTCTAAATGATTAGGTTCAGAATCTTTGGTACGTGGATGTGAGGATCTCTTTTGATTCCTGGCATTCTTAATGTGATATAAATCTCCCCCTAATGCATGGAATTATCCCCAAATGTGATCAACATATGGGCAATTTATAAATCCTCTATAGAGTTACATCTTGAAATCCCTAATGCCCATTGGTATGTTGGGGTGGTGATATGGGTATGTGAAAACATACTCGATGCGCAGATGGAAAACATTTGGCTACGGCCAAAGTTTCATGTTCATACTGCAACGAAGGGAGTTGTATAAGTGTAGCTTGATGAATTTGAATTAACGATGCGGTGTGTAAGGCCACATGAAAATAACTTAGTGCTGGTAAATTACAATTCTATTTTAATATACCATGCAATTTGATTCTCAATAAGAGACTCAATCAAACCATTATGGGTATGGACATATGGTACTTAATATATATAGTACCCAAAAACCAAACAGATCCATATAAAATGGATTTGATCCCGCGTCTAGGATGATTTGCTCTAAATTGAAGATTTCGAGCAATGAGTTTGGTATAGTGATGGTTCTCATAACTAAGGGACACACCTAGGACTATATTATGCATGCATAAATGTGCATTACATAGTATCTTTATGGTCCATAAAATGGTAAATAGAGTCACATGTATGTTTTTTAATTTCTTCAAGAAATGTAGTGGCTTATATTGATGCTATGACCAATAGAATTGACAATAATTCTCACGTTATCTCTATAGTTAAATAACCAAGGCAAATGTGCCAAGTATTGTTGACATCAAGAGAGAGAATTATTTTTGTACGCAACATTAGATACATGTTATGTATGTGTAGTCAAATTCAACTGAGGATGTTTTGTTTAAGTATTGCCATACCCGTTGTTTAGAGAAAATACTC